ACACACACACACACACACACACACATCTTGTTTATTCTAAGCCCTGATCACTGCTGTGACAATCTGCCTGGACGATGATGGCAGCCGGCCATGCGAGGCGTCTGTGACGCTGCCATTATGTCACGTTCTGATTCATAATCAGATTCTGAGATTGTAATCAGCACCCTGCCTCTGTCACCTGAGGGTGCAGGAGCTGCACCTGCTTCATGTCGCAGTGTCAGGCAGCTGAGAGCGGGGGCAAACCGCACTGTGCTGTTTGACTCAGAGAGGGGGAAATAAAGGCTGAGAGTGGCTTCTAGTTACAAAGCAAACACAAGTGGGAAGTAAACCTTTGTCTTAGCCTTTTTCTTACTTCATCATGACCTCATTATTGTCTTTATAAGAAAAACTAAACCTCATTATTGTCTTTATAAGAAAAACTAAACCTCATTATTGTCTTTATAAGAAAAACTAAACCTCATTATTGCCTTTATAAAAAACTAAACCTCATTATTGTCTATTGTCTACAGGTAGTGCTTCCCTTTAGTTTCCTGTCATACCTAACAGCTGAAGGGATATAAGCTAAAGGTTATATAATGAAATGAAAGCAGTTCATCTACAACCGGTTTTACATCTTTGTGTGTGACTAATGGGAATCTTTCAGCAACTCCTCTGACTCAAGTCAGTGGACCAAAGAAGAAGAAAAAAGTTTATTTGTGCTGAGCAACAGAAAAACACCAGGAGCTTCTTTTCTCGTTCTATTTTTGTTGAAAAGCTAACCTGTATTGCAAATTTGYAGATTGACTGGTTTGGAAAAAGATATTCTGCAGATTTTTCCAGCTAAACTGCTGACCTTACAAACCAGGTTTAAAACCAGTTTTGGTCTTTTTTAGTCCTTTTGATAACAAGGCAAAACAACTTCCAGTTTTTCACTAAAATAAATGTCCTTTATTTATGTGTCTTCATTTGACCAAATTGAGATGAGCCAATTCTGGTTGTATTTAGCTCATGYTCTTTATGCTTTTTCATTGGTGCAATAAGTGACAATACAGCTGTAAGTGTCTTGTTCTGTGATCATAAAGACTTATATTTACAACCTTGAACCTTCAAACCATGACTACATATTGTGGTAAAACATGTGTAAGTAAGTACCATATTTTAATGTACAGAAAAAATACAATAAATATTAAAATCCACTATGTGGAATGTGACATCAAATCAATATACCACAACGATAGCAATATATAATTGTGTTATGTGTCACATTTACACATCTGCAATAATAGTAAGTTAATTGTTTAATGCAAGTATTTGAGTAATAATTCGCCTTACCATAAAAATAAAGATAAAACTCTGATTGTAAATAGAAACAGTAGCTAATTTTAAATATTAAAAAGGCCGGTTTAAAAAAACACAATAACACAACTGAAGCCTGTCATTGGTTAGTTCCTGTGTGTCTCACACTCAGTAGTGATGTGCGGTCGTAACCGAGCCAGCTCTGTGCGCCATTTTGTGTCACTTTTTTTATTTCCTAAATTTTTTTGTTTGTTTGTTTTTATTTAAAATTGTGTAACTATTTTGGCAAAAACTTTCACAGATCTTGTTGTCAATAAGAACATGGTGGGGTACAATGTATCAAACACAATAGGACAGTTTTCAAAAAACACAGCAGAGATAGTGCATTTGAGCTTTATGCATATGTTAATTTTATATAATGTAAAGTTGTATGAAAACATACTAATCAAGTTTAGAATAACTATTTTGTTCTAAACTGTCTTGTATTTTAATGCTAATTGTAATGACAAAAACAAAATGTTTAGTAGGTATAGTTTATACTATATTAGATTATAATGCTAATTATAAAATTTAAAAAAAAAATACAATTAAGTATGAATATTATTAAACCAAACTATGTTACTCTAATTCTAATAATAAAAACCATAAATTTGTATAATTCTTTTGAACAATACATCATTGCTAATTGTACTACCCTATTCTGGTTTGGTGCTAATTTAAATGCTACTGGCAATTTTAATGAATGAAAACTAGATATGACTAATATACCGTAATGCTAATTGCAATTATACAATTAGCTTACAAAATAACAACATGCTTATGCTAATCCTAAAGATAAAAAAGTTTAGTATAGATATTTTAAATTGTACTATGTTGTAATGCTTAGTCCATAGTATACGTATTTTAAAGTATGCTATACCCTAATGATAACATGAGATAAAAATTGATATTTTAAAATACAATGTGTTAATTCCATTGCTAACTTCATTGTGCTTTACAGTTACAATAAAGGTATTATGATTTGGATTCTACATATGCGTGTCTTACTGTATTTATTTGTGTATAATATGATTTTGAGTATAACACGATCATCTTTTTTTTTTTTAGATAAAAAAGCAATAAAAAATCTAATTATCAATAACCCGTGTATAATACTACCCCCCTCTTTATGGATGATTTTTAGGGTTAAATTTCTAGTATTATACATGAATAAATACAGTAATTATGAAAGCTTTAAATAAGTGCAGAAAGAACCGACTCTTTTTGGTGAACGGAGTCAAAAGGTTTGAATCCCGGAAAAGAATCGAAACTCCCCGCTCTCACGAGGACTCGTCAGGACTTGCTTTACGTTCTCCGACAGAAGAGGCGTTGTTCTCGTCTTCTGTTGCTCGCTGTGCCACTTCTCCGAGACAAATTTCCGCTTCCTGCACCGATAAACACCAGCCACCAAGCCGAGYCGAAGTTACTGCAGCGGGACACGCACGGGAATTACCTGCCCGTGTATTTTCGCTACAACCTYCTCGAGCCACGAGAATGTTTTCACGGCTTCCCGTTTGATTAGCGCCCACCAGAATCAACTTTCCTTTAACGCGTGTTGCACCAGTCCGGAGACTGAAACWGAGAGAGAAAAAAAGGGGGTGAAAGGAAGAAGGACCGACGACACAGTCACGGAGAAAGGCAAAGACTGCTTCGAGTATTTTCCTCCCCCTTTCCTCTCCGCCTTTGTTAGCGCCGTCTCTTTCAGCCTCCAGGATGTCGGAGCGAGGAGGGCTCCAGCGGACTGGGGGCGTCCCTTCGCCGCAGCCCTCCAAGCCGGTGAGCATCACCTCCAACCGGCCGGTCCACATGAACCTGTACGCGACCTGGGAGGTGGACCGCTCCTCGCCCAGCTGTGTGCCGAGGTATGTGAGGGTTGGGGAGGCTGTGTTTACTCTTACAGGGCCCGCAAACAGACACAYGGGGTGCCTCTTTTTCAGACTGTTCACCTCATTACAATGACCTTCTGGGGTAATTACCCTGACCCTTGCTTTAGCATGAGATCTAACGCTTAGGAAGCCCATTGTTGGGCACATTTGTGACCTTTTGGACCTTTTTAAACTATCATTATGAACCTAAATGCATGGAAACCTGCTGATACTATGTTATCACAATAAAACAGTTTATGCCAGAGCATGGCTTCTGTTCTTGCACATCTGATCTGTGCACGCCCCCACCAAAAACCATGCGTTTGATGACCGACTTCAGCTACAACTCAATGTGTACACTGCATGATGTGTCTGAAATGGCACGTGCAGTAGGTGTGTTTGTGTGTGAGGTTATGATGAGGGCATTGCATCAAGGTCAGCAGAGGCAAAGCCACTTCAGCCACTCCAGACGTGCAGCGTGTGAAACAAAAGACTGAAACAGGGGGTCATTGTTTGACTGAAACACTCAACAGTGGGGTCTGTAATGGCTGTCAGCTGTCTGACGTATGTGAAAAGAGAAGCACTTGGCCTTTCTTGTGTGATAAGACGTATCAGGCTCTTGTCTGTAGTTTAACCCATATTTGCCAGGGCAGAGTCAAAACCATGGTCATGAATTAGTTTCTTGGGCTGCCACTAAAATGATTGTTTTTAAGTGAAACTGGCATTTCTGTTGCGTTACAGCCATTCATGTACATGACAACACTGGTTGTTTTCTTGGACACAAAAACTTTTTATATCCAGGTCTCGGAGTTGAGGTTTTTGATGATCTTAACTAGTGATGGGGCCGATCCAGTGTCTGCATCAGGCTTTAATATCAACATCATTAGCAGATGGGAATTTTCCGATCCAACTTGAGGAGATTTCTGATCCATGAGCCTTGTCTGTTCTCTAAAGTTGTCGCTGAAATGACTCCAGAAGTGGTTCCTTGCCGGCTGCTCTTCTAGCCGACTGCCATGTGTGGATTTCCTGAATGGAGGCGAGTCCCTAATAGGGTTGTCCTGATCAGATACTCAGTATCGGTGGCAGATATGGCCATTTTTTGAATATCGGGTAGAATGGGATTTAGTCATGTGATCGAGCCGATCCAGTTTTCACGACATTTTTCAGCATCATCATGCTTTACAACTTGCTGTTAAGTCAAGACGCACACAAGTATGCAACCAAGTCCACGGTGTGGGAACACTTTTCAATGGAAAACAACGATGCTGAAACTGCATCTTGCAAAATTTGCAAACTGGATGTTTCTGGTGGTGGGAGCAGCAGGGCTCGCTTTAATACTACCAACCTTGACACTTGGAAAGAAATAAAGAAATAAAGCTATCGGATCAGTATCGGAAAGACTAATCATTAAAAAAATCGGATTGTATCAGGAGCCAAAAAGTCTGGATCGGGACATCCCATTCCCTAGTCCCTAACCCGAACCAGAAGTCAAATTCATCATTCAAACTAACCTAATTAGTACAAAAAAAACCAAAAAAAAAAAAAAAAAAAAAAAACATATGTCCAAA